ACATTCCGTGAACATAAAATTATTAAAAAAAAACAATGTCACAAACGAAAATATTATTTACTTATTCCTAACCGTTACATATACAAATAGTCCTCCACAGAATATGGCTCAAGAGCTACCAGTAATTTAAATATTTGATGTTTATACAAACTTAATCTTTCCTCCCTTTTAATAGGTTATTAATTGAGTTGTTATCAACAGGTCCTCGTAGACACTTCGTCTCAGGACCATTTTACTTATGTAGAGTCATACGCCGCCATGTTACCTATCCAACGGTAACTTAAACATCACAAATTATAACTATTAATAATGTAAAACAACTACAAATTTAAAACATTTAAAGGGTTTTGACCCATATATTTTGGTGGCTACTAGCATGTACAACCGTTTGCACTGATAATGGATTTATCAATCCGAAAACGTTCTGCAATGTGTTTATGATAGCCCGTTTGGGGCATTTTTTATATACCTTTTATAAAGGATTTTAAACAATTTTTTGTGATATATGGTATACAGCCATCTACAGGAACTTAGTTTCCTAGTGGAATTTTTCTTATTATATTCTTTTTTTACCTGTCTATAGGAATCATAGAATTTATGGTTAACTCTGCTCATTGTAAACAAGATGTCTAAACGAGTCTTACATTCTATTATCTCTGGATCATCTCTTTTATTAAGGACTTTTTTACGTTGCCTAGAATCTAACTTTTTAAAAGGAAAGCACTGATCGAATATATACAGAAACTGATTTAAGAAAGTATTCCATTTAAGAAAGTATAATTTACTTATAAAGGTTTCAATATTATTTGTACTAAAATGTCTTTTCATTTCAAGAGTATTCGTTTCTGCTTCCTCTACCTGAAAAGTTAATTTTTGGGCAGAATGATCAGAGATTCCAGCGTGCAAGACTTCTACTGACACATATGATTGCATATTTGTTAGTATGTTGTCTATACAAGTTTTAGATGTGGCAGTTACTCTAGTGTAGTCTTCAATTACATGACAAATATTGTATGAGTTAATTAACATACAAAATTTTACTTTATCTAATGTGTTATTCTTAAGATCGATATTGAAATCTCCCCCTATAATTATAATTGTGTTTTCTATCATAATTCTTCCCAGTATAATATCAAATTTGTTTAAAAAAACTGCCAGATCGCTACCTGATGGTCTGTAAACTGATGCTATAATGAGTTTGTTATTACCTATATTAGCTTCGCATACAACACACTCTATTACCCTATCTACTGATAACTCTTGTATATCCTTTCTTTCCTGGCCAATGATGTCTTTACTAAGATATATAGCTGTTCCTCCATGTTCATTCACATTATTTCTATAATGACTAGCTGTCAGCACAAAATTGTTAATTCCATATTCACTTAATTCTTCTTTAGTTTTCCAATGTTCTGTTGTGCACAATATTTTACAGTCACTGTTGTTTGTTAGAAGTTCTTCTATTTCATCAATACAATTTCCTATGGATTGGAGGTTCTGGTGGATGATACTTATATTCTTTGCTCGTGTGACTGTGTTTTGTATTTCAATTTCCTTGTGTTGATGTGTCTTGTGCTCTCTATTTTCTCCTATGAAAAATTTCCACCTCGGTTATCTAGAAAATCCTTATGACGATGCATCTGGAACCTTTTTATGCCAACACCATTAGGCCAAAACTCTGGTTTATACATGTATTCCTTATATTCAAAGGGAGCCGATACAACAAATCTCTTCAACATATTTTCTTGACTTGGCAATTCCTTTACCATAATCTGTCAGTGTGTGTAGGTTTTCCATATACTTGTCTTAAGTAACCTTCCTTTCTTTCTTTCTCTGTTTCCATAGTAAATTGATAATTTGGATGTAGCGTGTTTATATAAGACAGGAAATCGTTAAGTTTTTCTACTCCGTGACCCAAATCACGAAAGTGTCATCGACGTATCTAAACCATACCCTTGGCCTGTATGTTTTATTGGAGAGTCCATTACCCTCTTTTCTAGATGTTCCATGAAAAGGTTGGCTACGGCCGGGCTTAGTGGGTTTCCCATTGCTACTTCATCTACCTGTTCGTAAATCTGATCTTTCCATGAAAAGTAGGTTGTAGTGAGGTAAATACAATATAATTCTACCATATCCTTGGAAACTAGTCCTTCAATTAAATTCAGAGCGTCTTTTAGGGGAATTCTTGTAAATAGGGAAACAACAATAACAACAATAGGGAAGCTAAGCTTGGATGTTCCCCGTCTTTGCCTTCGATGTAACCATCTTCATTCTATAAAATGGTTAGTAATACGCGTATTAGCATCCGTTTTTAAAAGACTGGAAAACATATCGAGGCTGAAAACTCGTTTCTTATTGTTGTTTTGTATGTTCTTAATGACTATATTATTACAGTTTTAAAGATAAAACAATATTTAATATTGTTCTGAAGCTATTTTCTTGTGGCATTATAAATTAATTACTATTTAACTGGGAATAAGCCACAATTAAAGATAAATACCTTTATACGTTTATTGACCTTTCAATTTCCACTTCGAAAATCGTTCTCAAAATACAAACAGTAAATTAAACAAATTTTGTTTTTTGTTACATAGTGAAAAATTCTTCTAATAATTTAATTTTATCTGACTCATTTATATTAACAATTCAGACATACATTATGCATTTTAAAGTAGACGACTTTAAAATGATATTGCCAATATTGTTGAGTTGCGCTCCTGGGACGACTTTACTTATAAGATAGTTCATTCGATTACATGAAATCAACTTTAACTTGAGAATATCCGTCAGAAAAATCATAGCATGTAATTCGTCTTTAACAAGACAAACACATGACATGACGACAGTAAAATTCTCCTGTTAGTGATTCCATAGTAAATTATGAGGGAAAAACCAAGAAAAAAACCTCATAATACTATCCCGACATTGTAAGTATTTGTTCGTGAATTTAGTTTACCCTCAACAAACATCAAAATTCTGATTTTATATGTTACATTATTTAAAAAACATAAATGATGTATCCTCTATATGTTACTGACTTACTAATACTGGTATTTTCTTATTAATAACTTCCTCTTTCAATATTGGTAACCAGATCCTACTACATTCTGCCGAGGAATTTGCGACACAAATGGCCTCATGTAGCATAATTAGAGCCGCTTCTTTGATTTTTCTTTTTTTACCATCCGTTTCTTTTAGGACTACATTTGAATTATTCCATTGAACCCTATGTTCATTATCCCATGCGTGTTTACATATTTGAGATCTATCAAATTCTCTATTTTTAATATAAGATCGATAATTCTAACATTTAATGGCCTTGATGATTCACCTAAATAAAACTGATCGCACTCACAAGGTATTTTATAAATGCAATTCTTTGTCCGTTCTTGTTCATTGTTAGGTTTGGTTTTGGACAAAATAGATCTCAACGTGTTTGTTGTTTTGAATGTTGTTGAAATGTTGAATTTATTTCCTATCCTTTTAAGTTTTTCTGATAATCCTTTTATGTACAGTATTGTTATTTTCCTCATATTATTCCTGGTGTATGCTGTAGGATCTCGTTCTAAGTTGTTCTGTTCTATTCGATCGATTGTTGAAAATTCCTTATTTACAAACGATAAATGATAATCATTTTTTAATAAAACAGATGTTAACAAATGTTTCTCCTCCAAGAACGAATTTTCGTTAGAACAAGTAATTTTGGCTCTATCGTATAGGATTTAATTATTCCCGTTTTTTACATTAATATTGTGATTTGATTTGAAATTTAAATATCTATTAGTGTGTGTTGGTTTTCTATACACCTGAGTCTCATATCCAGTATCGTTCTTAGAGATTAAAACATCCAGGAAAGGTAGCGTGTTATTATATTCCTTTTCCATGGTAAATGTTATTGTCTCTTCTTTATCGTTTATATCATTTAGGAATAGGGCCAACAACTCTGATCCATAAGGCCATATTGAGAATACATCATCTACATACCTCCACCATACAGTGGGTTTGAAATTTTGTTTAGAAATGATATTTGTTTCAAAATCTTCCATAAATATATCGGCTAAGAATGGAGATAAACTAGAGCCCATTGCTAGACCAAAATTTTATTTATAGAATTCATTATTTAGTTGAAAATATGTATTATCAGTACATAATGTTAATAACTCCATTATAGCCGATCTGTTTAGTCTTGTTCTAGTTGCCAATGAATCATCACTCTCTAATTTTGTCTTGACTATAAAAGTCTTATTTAATGGCACATTCGTAAATAAACTATTTATGTCAAAACTTACCAAAGTATTATTTGAATTAAATTCAATATTTGATAATTTATTTAAAAAATGTTGTGTATTTTTTATGAATGTGTCATTTTTATTTGTAAATGGTTTTAAAATATTTAATAAAAATTTTGATAGTTCATAGCACATTTACTATGGAATCACTAAGAGGAGAATTTTACTGTGATCATGTCATGTGTTTGTCTTTTTAAAGACGAATTACATGCTATGATTTTTTCTGACGGATATTCTCAAATTAAAGTTGATTTCATGTAATCGAATGAACTATCTTATAAGTAAAGTCGTCCCAGGAGCGCAACTCAACAATATTGGCAATATCATTTTAAAGTCGTCTACTTTAAAATGCATAATGTATGTCTGAATTGTCAATATAAATGAGTCAGATAAAATTAAATTATTAGAAGAATTTTTCACTATGTATCAAAAAAACAAAATTTGTTTAATTTACTGTTTGTATTTTGAGAACGATTTCCGAAGTGGAAATTGAAACGTCAATAAACGTATTTTTATCTTTAATTGTGGCTTATTCCCAGTTAAATAGTAATTAAAACAATATTTGTCAAACAAAATTCATTTATTGTTTACGTGAGTGCATAATATTTTGGCGGTTCAAATATAACATATTCTTCTCAAATTGTTTAATATTGCGACGCCACTGCATTTTACACCAGCTGTACATTGCTTAGTACTTTTTTTTTGTTTTAGATTGATCACCAATGAAGGAACGAGACTTTTGGTCAACGTTTCGGAGCCCACCTCTCTAAGGCTGTTGGTAAACGATAATACTCGGTTGATTACAAACGATAACAGACTGATAACTCAAGATAACAGACTCATTACTAATGTTAACGTCAACGATAACAGACATTTATCCGTTCTGGATGGTTCTAGAATAATCACTGCTGATAAATATCTGACGACATATGATCCCTACCAGAGAGGGCATATATAAGCATTTAGTGAGAAGTTCCAAGACGATAAATTTATTTAGTATGAGTACTAACAACTGTTTTTAGTTGCAATTTTTGCACATTACCTATACGTATATTTTTAAATCGTGTTTATTATGATTTTCTTTTTTTTGTACGACATTGAACAGAAGTTCAATATTATACAGTCGCAATTATACCTTCAGCAGTACCTAATCTTCCCAAGAGTAAGAAAAATGATAATTTTTTTTAATGTAACTGCACAACTTGCCAGCATTTTTAAGGCTATCAGTCTATTCTTTTATTTATTCAATTTTTTTTTAATCAAACATAAATGGACGCATTCCTATAACTGGGAGTTTAATATTTAATGCCGTACCAAATTCTTCTGGTCCCGTTGCAAATTGCATATATATTTAAACGAATTTAAACTCGTTATTGTTTAGAGGATGAGAAAGAAAAGCGTAAAGTTGTTTCGATCCTTATTTGCCCGAGTAACATTTTGAAATTATTAAGAACAATTGAGCCGGTGAGAATGAAAGTGGCATAAGTCATAAAATTAAAAAAAAATTATTTATTTCTTAAATCTTTGTTCATAGTACTATTTATAATGAAAGTGGCTTTAGTCGTTAATACATGAATTCAGCCCTAGTTTCCTGTCTCTACAAAACATGTAGCGGTTTATATTGCCTACCACATTGGGTATCACTTATAGAGGGATGAAAACTGGGGACAGAAATTACTGGACTGGAGATAAGGTAAGCAAGCAAACCGAAAAGTCTGCGAACGGCCACTCTTGATTTGGTTGTAGAGCTGAGTCGTAAGTGAATGAAGGGGATAACTACAAAGGAAGAAAATCAAAAGGTACTTACATGGATTTCTTGGACAACACAACACAAGAAGGTGTTTAAACTATTTAAATTTGGACGCCGTTTACAAGAATCTTCCTGCTGGATGGAAAGATAGGATTTTCTTTTCAAAAAAATGTATTAAAAGGGTTTTATATCTATTAAAAGGGGCCATTTCCAAGGCAGATGAAAACCTCCTGCTTATATTTGAACGAAGGATCCTGAGAAGAATATTCGGTGGCATCTGTGAAAATGGTGTTTGGAGAAGGAGGTACAACTATGAGATATATCACAGATATAAACATATATTTGGTGGTAAAGTCGTAGTATCTCTTATAAAAATAGGAAGACTAAGATGGGCAGGACATCTGGCAGGATGGCAAGATCACAGCAGAACAACCCTGCTAGAAGAATCCGCGAATTAATAGAGGCCCTAAGTATTTCCTACGAATGCGTACACAACATCATTCACCGTCATTTGGATAAGAAAAAGCTATCCGCGCGATGGGTGCCGCGTTTGCTGACAATTGATCAAATGCAAAAACGTATGACCACCTCGGAGACGCTTTTGGCGATGATAAGGCGCGATCCGAAGTATTTTTTTCGCCGATTTATCACCGTTGATGAAACCTGGGTGCATTATTACACACCGGAAACCAAAAAACACTCGAAACAGTGGCGCAAACGCAGCGAAGGGCCGTCGAAGAACGCAAAGAGTGCACGTTCGGCAGGCAAAGTGATGGCGACTGTTTTCTGGGATGCGAAGAGCATCATCCACATCGACTACTTGGAAAAATGAAAAACAATCAATGGTGAGTACTACGCAGCATTATTGGATCGATTCTATGCCGAATTGCGTCGAAAACGCCCCGGTTTGGAACGCAAAAAAGTGCTCTTTCACTAAGACAATGCACCGGTCCACCGATCGGCTGTCGCCATGGAAAAATTACACGAATTGGGCTATGAATTGGTTGAACACCCACTTGACGCCAGCTATTTTTCCTCTTTTCAAACCTAAAAAAATGGCTCGGAGAACGCCGTTTCGCAACAAATTATGAAGTCGTTGCTGAAAATTCGGCCTATTTTGAAGAGCTCGAGCAAAAGTACTATTCGGATGGGATAAAAAAATTCACCACCCTTGTATTTGTCAAACGATGCTGATTTTGGCAGTGTATTAAATGTGGCATTAAATTATGGAAAGTGTAGAAGTAATACAAATGAAGATTTTTTTTTTCATTTCATAATTTAGACAGAAATATGGACAAGAGGAAGAAAAACACTGGCAAAAATACTGAGAACGGGTTAAAAATTAAATGGGTCAGACTGAAAAACGATCATCCTTACAATATAATGTACAAAGAAACATTGCAGAATATGGTGGAGTTTATTGTGCTAAATATAAAACTGAAAAAAAGGAATACCGTTTATCGCAAATGATGTTGGAGGTAATATTGGACCTTTGCCATACCATGAATAGGATATCAATGAACCTAATGATGAAGGGAGAGAGGAAGGTAATTAACCCTTTAATCGGCAAGACCGTCTGCAGACGGTCTTTACTCTAACCTAAGTATTTAATCAATAACGGGTGTGATCGAGCTGAACGACAAAACCGTTTGTAGGCACTGAAAATACGAATCTAACGGTACCAGTTTGAAGGTTGTAGGCTTATTTGATTTACAGCGGCTGGCATTTATGTCGCGACAATCGTATGAATCAGACGTTAAAATTATTTGTGTGTACGGGAAAAATCAAAGAATTTTAAAAAGTGCTTTTTAGTTGAGAAATAAACACAAAAATTTTTGTGGTAAGTAGTTATTATGTATATTTATTGATTTACTACTGTGTGTGGAGGAAATAAGAAGTGGAATTGAAATACCGCGCATTTAGTGAAGGCCGTTTGCAGACAGTCTTGTCGCTTAGTTGCAAAATTTTTCTCCTTACTTTTTACTATTACGCGTATTTTTGTTCTTTATTTTACCTACTAAACATGCGGTTATTATTTTTTTATGTAGAAAATGGAGGGAAAACGTGGTGTAAAAGGATGTAAGAGAGCCTGGGCGACAGGAAAAGGATTCGATGTATCTACTCTGAGTGAAGAAGATATATTAGACATTATGGAATCGTTTACGGATGAAGAAGATGTCGATGACGTAGACAGTGATCCGGATTACGAGTGTGATGAAATAACACCTGAAGATTATGAGATGATAACTGAATGCATCCAAAACATAGATTCAACCGCTACAAGTGTACAGGCTGCGAACTTATCACGGAATATCAATAGTACTTCGTTCAGTTCGACGGATACTACAGTTCCAATTGCACAAACTTCTACTTCTGAAGCGGCTAATGGGGTTAGAGATAAATCTTCACCAACCACAGCAGCAGAATTAGTAGCATCGATATCAGAAGACACAACCATAGTAGCAACAACAGTAGATACGGCTGCAATCGCAACAAGGTCAGTAGCAACACCTACATCTACATTCAAACCACCGAAGAGACCAAGATCGCCGTTACCGACTTTGGAAGTTTCCGGCCCAAGGGTAGTACCATCAGCAGGTGGCTTCACTGGAGGAGGTTTGTACATATTACGAATAAAAAAATAATTGTTATGTACTGATTATTTGTTTGCTTTCAGCGTTAACCAGTATTGCAAAGGAATCACAGGAATGGAAGAATATTCTGTGGCGTCAACGTTCAATGCAGTTACACGTGAACGAGGTTGCATTTCGTGGCAAAACTGATCTTCCACCTGAAATACTTAAATTAGATTCGCCGTTGCAGTTTTTCAATTACTTCTTTACGGATGAATTGGTGGATCTCATTGTGTTGGAAACAAATCGAGCTGCACGTGTCATTGACATTAATACACAATTTACCGTTGACGCAGTACAGATACGGCGGTACATTGGCATTCTCATATTTATGTCAATTTTTCGTTATCCCAACATGGAATCGCACTAGGCGAATTTGGTTTCAGAGCCGTACCAGATTGCATGGCATTGAAGAAATTCGAAGCAATCAAAAAGCATCTTGCGTTCAATGATGAACGCCAACGTATTCCAAAAGGTGAACCAGGATACGATCCTATCGTTCGAGTACGAAAAATTGCCACAATTTTGAATGCTCAGTTTGACAGCATCCCAAAAAATGCACGGTTATGTGTGGATGAACAAATGTGCTCAACTAAAATGGTCCACCATCTTAGACAATACCTCAAAGATAAACCTAACAAATGGGGTGTAAAGTTATTCGTTCTTTGTGATACGAATGGGTTTTCATACCAGTTCGAAATTTATACTGGTGCTCGTAATGATGACATCATATTGCCTAACACTCCAGACATAGGTGTTACAGGAAACGTTGTTATCAGGTTATCGCAGACAGTGCCAGACTTCCTGAATCATGTCATTTATTTTGATAACTTCTACACCTCATTACCTCTAATGGTGTACCTGAGAGCCCGTGGCATTTTTGCTCTTGGTACTATTAGAAGCAATCGAATCCCTAACTGCAAATTGCCAGGAGATAAGGATTTGAAAAGAGAATCAAGAGGTTATTCCGTCGAATATTGCGGATCAGCTTATGGTGTCGATCTGAGCACAGTTTTGTGGAAAGACACTAAAAATGTTAGACTTTGTTCGACATATGTTGGTGTAAAACCTTTCTTGAAAACAAAAGCAGTTATTCAACCGGCTAAGGCGCCTCGTTATGACAAGAAAACTAATAAATATATCGAGGTTGGATGTCCACAAATCATTCGAGAATACAACTCTCACATGGGAGGTGTAGACCTCATGGATTCATATATGGGTCGAAATGGACTTCGTATAAAAACAATGGACATGGCCACCAGATTTTTTTACCAACTACTGGACATGGCGATTACCAATGCCTTTGTGCTGTATCGACGTGTAAATGTCGAGAAAAATCGCAACGTCTCCGGTGGTGAAAAACAAAAAGACATGACAATGCAACAATTTCGATTGAAAATGGCTAAAGAGCTGTGTGCTACAACTGAAAAACGTCCTGTTGGACGACCATCGTCCGTTCCACAGCCAACTAGTAGTTCTGCAGTCGGTAAACGAGCTGTTCATCAGGTGGATAGTGTAAGATACAACGGATTCATTGGCCTGAATGGGGATCGAAAAAGTCGTGCAAACTGTGTA